TGGAGGCTGAGGGGAAACTTGATAGGAATCAATAAAATTATGAGATGCAAAGATAGGGTTGACAGTTAGAATTTTCTCCCCCCAGATTTGAAATGTCTAATACTAGGGGGCATGAATTTAAGGTGAGAGGGGAAAGTTCAGAGGAGATGTGAGGGGCAAGTTTTTTACCAAGAGAGTGATAGGAGTCTGGAACGCACTGCCAGGGGTGGTGGTGGAGGCTGGTACGATAAGGGTGTTTAAGAGACTTTTAGATAAGCACATGAATATGCAAGGGATAGAAGGATATGGACCAAGGGCAAGCGGAGGGATTAGTCTAATTTGGCATCATGTTCAGCTCAACATCGTGGGCTGAAGGGCCCGATCCTGTGCTGTACTGTTCTGTGTTCTAAATTTATTTTTAAAATTGAGTATTGGTGATGGCAGATTTGAAAGAGAGGAGGAAGAAAACTACTAATAATATCCTTTATGGTTTCCCATCCTTCCAATGATGCACTGGGCAAATCTTCCCCTGAAGTTACCCATGTCCCCTGTGCAATGTGCTTGACATGAACTTGTATCTTTTTCTAATTATAGTCTTAGTTTCCCTTCATACCTTCTCTAAGCTGACCTTGTTCTCTAGGTCCAGCTCCTGTCCCCTGAACCCTGTTAACACCATGTGGGTATATAGGGAATAGGGCTAGAATGGCAAAGGAGAGTAGGCAGCAGTACGAGGATGTGATTAGAGCTTCTGACCTGAGTGGTGACAGTCAATGAAAGAAACTAATGGGTAGAGGTAGCTCCAGATATTTGTCATCCTCAATGATGGGAAGTGCCAAGTATTTAGGTGCCAAGTGGTCGAACCATCTCAACCTCTTCCCAAGCACCCCATCATTACAAATGCACGTCTTCAGCCAATTTAATTCACTTCAAGTGGTACCAACAAACAACTGAGCACGCTGAATACAGCAAAGCGTCCTATACGCATATTACTGAAGCCTTGTGGCTCCAGACCTAGTGACAGTTCCAGCCAAATTGTTCCTATACAGTAGAACTTTCACGAGTATATAAAAGGAGGAGAGTAGCTAAAGTAATGGCCTCTTGGAGGAAGAGAATAATCCTGGGAAATGAGGAAATGGCAGAAATTGAACACATATTTTGTCCGTATTTACAGTAGAAAAAAATCTGAGAAAGAGGCCAATCTGGGGGCTAACAACAGGAGGAATTTAAGGTTACAAATAATGCCTGGTGTATTGAGCAGTTTTAGCCTTGATATTTTAATAGAGAGTATGCCTGCATTGGACGTGGCCCAGTGAAGGTTCACTGAAATGGTTCCCGGGATGTTCCTATGCTGAGTAAATTTGCTGGAGTTCAGAAGCATTGGATCTCACTGATACAAAGTTCTGAAAGTGCTAACGTGGTAAATTGAGACATTGTATCCCTGGCTGGGAAACAAGTGGCCAGAGTTTCAAAATAAGGGACCAATCATTTAGCACTGGGACGAGGAGAGGTTTTGAGAATACTGAATCCTTTGAATTTTCCAGAGTGTTGTGGATACTGCACTGTTGGATACATTCAATGCTCAAATGGACAGATATTTTGCATCTCAGTTGAATCACAGGATAAGGGGAATAGATGTGAAAGTGGAGTTGAAACTGAAGATCAGCCACAATTGTATTGAATGGAGGAGCAGGCTTGATGGGCCAAATAGACAGCTGCAACTTCTATTTATTATGTACACATGTTTCTACAACACTGGCATCTGCTCAACAGTATCAAAAGTTGTCCTCTTCACAAAACCTGGGAAAATATAATCTGGTTAATTGCTGTCCCATCAAGTCGACTTATCAACAAATTGATGGAAGGTGTCATGGACAGTACTATCAGGCAGCACTTACAAAGCAATAACCTGCTCAGTGACGCCCAGTTTGGTTTCTGCCAGGGCCACTCAGCTCCTGACCTTGTTACAGCCTTGGTTCATGGGTAAACATGGGTAAAACATCTTAATTCCAGAGGTGAGGTGAGAGTGACAGCCCTTGACATCAAGCTGTATTTGACAAAATATGGCATTGAGGAGCCCTAGCAAAACTGGAGTCAATGGGTATTGGGGGCAAACTCTCCACTGGTTGGAGTCATACCCGACATGTAGGAAGATGGCTGCCATTATTAGAGGTCAGTCATCTCAGCGCCAGGATATCTCTGCAGGAGTTCCTCAGGGTAGTGTCCTAGGCCCAATCATCTTTAGCTGCTTCATCAATGACCTTCCCTCTATCATAAGGTCAGAAGTGGGGATGTTCGCCGATGATTGCACAATGTTCAGCACCATTCGCGACTCCTCAGATACTGAAGCAGCCCACATCCACATTCAGCAATATTTGGACAAGATCCAAGCTCAGACTTAAAGGTAGGAGGTAACATTTGCGGCACACAAGTGCAAAGTACTTAAACAATACCGAGTTCAACCAATTCTCTTTGACATTCAGTGGCAGTACCACCATTGATCTCCCAAGCATTAGTACCCTGGGGGTTATCATTGACCTAACCCGCCTATGCTGACGGAAAACCACCACATGCAAGTGATCGCTATCCTGACCTGGAACTACATTGCTGTTGCTTCTTCATTGAATTGGCCACCAGGCAGCACTGTTGGTCTATATTCACCACACAGACTGCAGGAGTGTCACAGACTGGATCACTGCCAACTTCTCAAGGACACTTAAGGTCTGGGCAACAAGTAATGGCTTTACAATCACATCCCATTACAAATAAAAAGAAATAAAAGGAAAATGTGACATTTTACAATATACCTCTTTTCAGAAAGGATGGGGCAAATTGCACGTTGGTGAGGTCTCTTCAGGAGTACTATGCTCAGTTCTGGTCACTGTTATAGGAAGGAAATCTGCAGAGGGTTCAAAAGAGATTTACCAGGATGTTGGCGGGAATGGAGGGTTTGAGTTATAAGGAGAGGCTGGATAGGCTGGGACTTCTTTCACTGGAGTGTAGGAGGCTGAGGGGTGACCTTATAGAGGTTTATAAAATCATGAGGGGTATAGATAAGGTGAATGGCAGGTGTCTTTTCCTTAGGATGGGGAATTTCATGACTAGGGGGCATATTTTTAGGGTGAGAGGAGGAAAAAAGACATGGGGGCATTTTTTTTAAACACAGAATGGTTCTGGTGTGGAACGAAATGCCAGAGGAAGTGGTGGAATGTGGGTACAGTTTGAAAGATATTTGGACAAGTACACGAATAGGAAAGGTTTGGAGGAATATGGGCCAGGAGCAGGCAGGTGGAACTAGTTTAGTTTGGGATTATGTTCAGCATGGACGGGTTGGACCGAAGGGTCTGTTTCCATGCTGTACGACTCTATGACTTTATAACTGACCTTTAATCAGCAACTGGGGCCAAGTGGAGATGAACAATTGTGGCTGGCGGGTGAATCTATAACATTGCAATTCCTGGATCAATAACTGTCACAAGTTACATCACTGGATGAGGACTGACCCCAGATGAACTCAAACTCAGTCCCCACCCTGTCAGTCTGGGAAGCTGAATTATGTTTGATTAAAACCTGGGAGCAGGAACAAGGTCATAGGTTCTCAATGGGTCCCTAAATGGCCCTGACAGGAAACTGGCCAGTCTTGCACTAAAGTGGCAGACTGAGCAACCCACTCAACTGTATAAAAACCAGGGATGGGCAATAGCTATCAACTCACCCAATGATGCCCATTTACAGAGCATGAGTTAAAGCAAGAAATAATGAGGAAGGATATACTATGGCTCTTAAAACCCTTGAATTTGGCTCCAATCTGGAGCAGCAGGTTAGGTGGTTATATAAAAAGATCAGGTCAGGCATGGATTATGTATCAATAGTGTGAACTAATGGCACTTCCTTCAACACATTTCAATCTCACCATACAACACTCATTTAACAACATCACTGCTAATTTTTTGCTGGGACATTAATGTCATACCTTCGCCAAATTTGACAAAAATTACATTTAACTCAGAAATAATGATTCGACCAAATTGACCCTGCATTTTTAAGTTGCTATGAAGGTGATGGATTTGGGGTGTGACATGATTAGATGCCGTTGTTTGACTGCATCTGACCCAGATAATGACTGCACCCCAAATTGGTCTTCGTTTTTTAAAACGGAAGAAAAACTGGTCAGAGAGGACAAAAAGCCACAACTTTCCCTGTATTGTGTTATTTTATTGATTCTGGACCTGACAGGCAGTGTACCTTTAAGACAATTACATGACATCATGATGCGACATTCCAGTATGAAAGTATCTGGATTATCTTGTTTTATGGAATCACTACAGTATCGAAGCAGACCATTCAGCCCATCGAGTCCACACTCATCCTCCGAAGAACACGCCCCACCCCCTACCCTATCACTGTAACCATGCATTTCCTATGGCTAACCCACCTAGCCTGCACTTCCCTGGACGCTGTGGGCAATTTAGCATGGCCAATCCACTGTACCCTGCACAGCTTTGGACTGTGGGAGGAACCTGGAGCACCCGGAGGAAACCCACTCAGATGCGGGGAGAACGTGCAAACTCCACACAGACAGTCGCCCGAGGGTGGAATCGAACCTGGGTCCCTGGCACTGCAAAGCAGCAGTACTAACCACTGAGCCACCATGCCGTCCCTGCAACATGTATTCAGCCAGTCAGTTATGTGTATGTGATATTTAGTACCATCAGTGAGCAGAGAACCCAGTTGATATGCAAGCCTGTGATATTATGGATATCTAAGTAGTTGGCGTGGTTAATAAAGTTCTAGACATCTGGTTCAATAAGAACCTGATCGATGTTTGTGCTATGTGTAACGGGAGCTAACATGTAGCAATCCGACCTTATTATACCAGCTATGGTATTGAGCCAAGAAACTACATCACCCTGTGCTTGGGGGTAACGTTCCCTTGAGGCTGCGTGGGTATGTGCATACGCGGTTGCTCTGATATACAGCACACATGGCTCCCCTAAAAGGAGAAAAGTTCTGTTTCGACTCACGGGAAAGCCAAGCTTCTTGAACTCTCTGGCGCACAAAGATTTCCGCCGGTCTGTGTTGAAGTTCCCAGGAGAGGCATCAGCATCAGACTCAAAGGCTGCTTGACGTAGCCGGTGGACCATATCCCTCTGCTCCTAAAGGGAAAATAAACAGGCAAACAATGATGGAAATGGAGATGAAGCATGGAATTTCGATGGCTAGTAATGTCATCACCCATGGGTGGTCAGGCTGGATATTATGGTGGCGGTGTTGTGAGTGTTGGTCTTGGAGGTAGAAAACAAGGCTTTCACCTCAGCTTTCTACTGGCATTGGTGGGAGTCCAGCGAAGATTCACAAGGCCAATACCCAGTATGGAGGGACTGTCTTAGGAGGGCAGGTTGAGCCTGTACTTGGAGTTTAGAAGAATGAGAGGAACATTTAAGAATCTTAGGGGACTTGACAGGATAGATGTGGAGAGGTTGTTTCCCCTTGTGGGAGATCCTAGCACCAGAGGGCACCATCTCAGAATAAGGGGTCACACACTGAAGACAGAGATAAGGAGGAATTTCTTCTCTCAGAGGGTGGCGAAACTGTGGGATGCTTTACTGCAGATGGTGAGGTTGAGCTATATTTGAGGCTGACATAGATTTTTCATCAGTCAGGGAAACAAGGCAAAATGGCAGGAAAGTGGAGTTGAAAATGATCAGATCAGCCACGACCTCATCGAACGGTGGAGCAGATGGAACGGGCCAAGTGGCCTATGTCTGCCCCTATGTGTTTTAGTGTTTGTGTCAGAAGTGCTTGCGTAGAGAATCGCGAGGCTAACACCATCACACGTGAGTGATTAAGGTTTAGTGGTTAGCCATTGGTAGAGGGGTCCATTACTGCAGAATTGAGAGATAATCCATTAATTAAACTATCACTGGTAGTAAAGTTGCCATAGTCCTACCAGACCATAGGGCTGCTCTCTCATTCGAGAGAGATGACCGGTGGTGGTTGAGAAGCAGAGTCCTTCATAGTAATCTCTGCTTGTTCAGGAATTGAATCCACACTGTTGGCATTGCTCTGTATTACAAACCTGCTGTCTGGCCAACTAAGCTAGCTGACCCCCCTCCTACTGGCAGCAAAGACATGGAATATTGCTGAAAGGGTTAGTAATTCTTCAAAGGATTCAAGAAAACTTAAATCAGGATGTCACCTTCAAAGGAAGTGGTTTGGAATGAACTGCAATAATTGTAAAAATAAACCGCTTAAACGGCATTTGGGACCAGATCCAGGGTGAGCTATTTGATGGGATACAGGCAGAATATGGCAGCTTAAGCGAGCACCTTCAGAGAGTGCAAAGGAGTTCACAGCAACAGGAGTTCACAGTCTGAGCTCAATCACTTAAATAGACTGTCACGAATCTCGGGCTTATCTGAAGAATGAAATTGTGGAATTGGGAGTCGGTGTGGAGGTCGTGTTTGTTTGGACAGGGTGAGATTTGCACATTCGACATCTTGTCCCACTCTGAAGGAGCTCCATTCCTTTTATCCCTGGCCTTATCATTTCTCTTGAAGGAACTGCCTGTTGCTCGGATACAAATCTCCCAGCGATGCCGTAGGATCTGGAGAACAGCATCCTTCACACATGGGCCTGGACAAGGGAGTACAGTGAGCACACCTGTCCTCACCTCACATGGCATGGGGCAGCACTGGACTGCAGAAACCTTGGTTAATTATTCTCCTCCTCAACCCATGGCACCTAGACCAAATCCAAAGAAAGAACTTGCATTTATATAGCAACGTTCCCATCCACAGGCATAACCAACCAGGTACATTAGAAATGCACTCATTATTGTGATATTGGGAAAGTAACGGATCACTGCACAGAACAAAATCCAGGAAACAGCAACTGAGATAAATAATCTGCTTTAGGTGTTAGGGTGAGGGGACACAGGGAAATCGGTCCTGCTCTTCTGTAAACAGGATCATCTGCGTTCAAGCGAACAAGGGGAAAGATGTCACTTCCGATGCAGCACTCCATCAGGTACACACAGATTCAGCTTGATTCTGAGACAGAGTGCGAAATATATTGTCCCTGATTTGACGGTGTGCTGACTCAGCACAGGGTGCAAATCACAGAACAGGTACAGCACAAAAGGATGCCATTCGGCCCATCATGTTGGGTACTGTGTCAACTGGGGCCACTCCCCTGCTGTTTCCCCATTGCCCTGTTCTGGGTGTGGTAACCTCGTGGGCACTGAAGTTAAGGGGAATGCCAGATATTTTGACATAAGTCTCTGTAGTCACTGTGAACTATTACAGATTCTTAAAGTCATACAGCATGGAAACAGACCCTTCGGTCCAACCAGTCCACACTGAACACAATCTCAAACCAAACCAAGACAAACTAAACCATCTGCCTGTTCCTGGCCTATATCCCTCCAGACCTTTCCTATTCATGTACATATTCAAATGTCTTTTAAATAATGTAACAATGCCTGCGTCCACCATTTCTTCAGGACGTTTATTCCACCCTCTGTGTAAAACATATGACCCGCATGTCTTCTATAAATCTTTCTCCTCTCACCTTAAAAATATGTCCCCAGTCTTGAAATCCCCATCCTAGAGAAAAGACACCTACCATTAACTCTATTTATACTCACCATGATTTTGTAAACCTCTATAAGGTTTATAACCTCCTATGCTCCAGTGAAAAAAGTCCCAGCCTATCCAGCCTCTCCTTATAACTCAAACCTTCCATACCCGGCAACATCTTGGTAAATCTTTTCTGACCCCTCTCAGGCTTAATAATATCCTTCCTATAACAGGGCAACCAGACCTGGATACAATATTCCAGAAGAGGCCTCACCAATGTCCTATACAATGTCAACATGACGTCCCAACTCCTGTACTCAAAGGACTGAGCAACGAAGGCAAGCGTGCCAAATGCCTCTTTAATATGTCTATATGTGATGAAAACTTCAAAGAATTATGTACCTGAACCATTAGGTCTTTCTGTTCTACAATGTTACCCAGGGCTCTGCCATTAATTGTCTAAGTCCTGCCACTGTTTGTTATACCAAAATGCAATGCCTCGCATTTATCCAGGAGTAAATCAAATGTTTGCATTGAGTGGTCATTGTGAAGGCATCTAATGGAAATGTTTTGTTTCGCACAGTTCATGTGAAAAGTGTGACAGAGATGAGAACTGTTGGTCACTGCAGAGCAGATAGACAGCTCAAGGGGAAACAAAATGAAATGATGAGAATTTAGGGAGACTCCTGAATGCAAAAAGGGAGATGGAAATGCGGGGGCAGGAAGATCCCCTGACCACACAATGGCTGTCTAAAGTGAAAATTGCACTAAAATTGCCATTGCAGTGAATTAGTATCATTTGCATCACACAAATGCCAGGCAATGACCATCTCCAATAAGAGACAATCAAACCACTGCCCCTTGATGTTCAATGATGTTACCATCACTGAATTCCCCACTATCAACATCCTGGGGGTTATCATTGGCCCAAACTCAACTGGACTCACCGCTTGAACACAGTGTCTACACGAGGCTGGGAATACTGCAGCAAGCAACTCAGTTCCTGCCTCCCCAGAGCCTGTCCACCCTTCAACAAGGCACAAGTCAGGAGTGTGATGGAATACTCCCCACTTGCCTGGATGAGTGCAGCCCCAACAACACTCAAGAAGCTTGACACCATCCAGGACAAAGCAGCCGCTTGATTGGCACCACATCCAGAAGCATTCACTCCCCCCACCACTGACGCTCAGTAGCAGCAGTGTGTACTATCTACAAGATGCACCGCAGAAATTCACCAAAGATCCTCAGACAGCACCTTCTAAACCTACGACCACTTCCATCGAGAAGGACAAGGGCAGCAGATACATGGGAACACCACCACCTTCGAGATCCACTCCAAGCCGCTCACCATCCTGACTTGGAAATATATCGCCGATCCTTCACTGTCACTGGGTCAAAATCCTGGAATTCCCTCCTTTAAGGCATTGGGGTCAACCTACAGCATGTGCACTACAGCGGTTAAAGGCAGCTCACCACCACCTTCTCAAGGCCAACTAGGGACATGCAATAAATGTTGAACGAGCCAGTGTTGCCCACGATCCACAACAGAATTTTGAAACTTGCAAACATTTTCACAATTAATAGATTGCTTCCACTCTCCTGCACTGTGACTGGGGTCCAAAGGTATTCCTGCATTCCCCATCTGCAACGAGGCTTTGCAAACACAGATCACTCAGGCCCAGTCAATTGCGAATGAGACTTCCGTTGTCAGTGTGTGAATTGCGTTGCAATTAATCTGTTGAACTGACACATCCCCTTGAAGATAGAAAAAGGTAACACCAGCTGAGCACAGCAAACAGAGGGACTAAGGTATCATAAACATTAGAGGTCACCAGAGCCCATGGGATTAAAGGGACAGTGACAGAGTGGATTCAAGATTGGCTGTGAGATAGAGGCCAAGAGGAGTATTGAATAGTTTTTTTTCAGACTGCTGAGATACAGGATAGAGGAACGTGCCCAGAATCAATATTAGGATCTGTTTGATCTATGTGGACTTGAGTGGCATCATTTTGCCTTTTGACATAAGAGTGAAGTGGATTCTAAAACACTTCAGTTGAAAGTAGAGAGACTGGTTACATTTCAGGTCACTCAGTGCAAGCATAAACAGTGTTGGAGGATGAATGGAGACAAGCAATTATATGGTTCACTATTAAAGGTGCTGCAGGAATGGTGAGATGTTCATACATACATCTCAGGGTGTCTGCTCAGGCTATGCAACATACCTGATCCTTGGCTTTCAGAACAGAATGTAAAAGAGAACAAGTTATACTAATCCTCTATAAACCACTACCCAAATGGCAGCTCTCTCATGATGTATAAAGGTGGATGGAAGGTATATTGTGCCTTAACTCGCTACAGTTCAATACTTAATCTCAGTCACAACACGTTTGAGAGGAGGTCTATGAGGATGTGACCAGGGCTGGAGAAGTTTAGCGAGAAGAATGTCTAATACTAGGGGCATGCATTTAAGGTGAAAGGGGAAAGTTCAAAGGAGATGTCAGGGGCAAGTTTTTTTACCCAGAGAGTGGTAGGAGTGTGGAACGCGCTGCCAGGGGTGGTGGTGGAGGCAGCTACGATAGGGGCAGTTAAGGGACTTTTAGATAAGCATATGAATATGCAAGGAGTGAAGGGACATGGACCAAGGGCAGGCAAAAGGGATTAGTTCAATTTGGCGTCATGTTTGGCACAACATTGTGGGCCGAAGGGCCTGTTCCTGTGCTGTACAGTTCTACGTTAAGAGAAAACTGGATAGGCTTCAGAACGGAGGAGGCTGAGGGGAGGTTGAATTAAAATGTACAAAATGATGAGGGGTCCTGAATAGAGAAGATTAGTAATCTGGAGGCAGAGATTTTAAAACTCTGCACCACATGGTTGTCAATGCCTTGGAGAAAGTGAAGAGGAGATATATTGGGATGTTACCAAGGAAGAGACAATACAATTTCACAGAGCAAGATCAGAGAAACGACAATAACTCTCCCTAGAATGCTTCCAGCAGAGAAAGCTCAGGGAAGATCAATAATGGTTTTTAAAATGAAGGGCTTTTTCTGTGGAATAGTTGAGGAGAAACTATTTCCATTGGCAGAATGGTCAGTAATCAGAGGATGCAGACTTCAGATCATTGGCAAAAGAAACTGGAAGGAAAGTTATGCGTTTTTTTTAATGCAGTAAGTTGTGATGATCTGGAATGCATTGCCTGGTTGGGTGGTGGGAAATATTCCATATTCCACACTGTAACAGACTATGCCCAAACCCATTCATATACTAACATGATCATAATGACAAAAATCATACTTTACAGCCGATACCCAAGACACCACCATCATCATCCCCTGGATACGTCCTGTCCCACTGACAGTGGCAGCACAGTCAGAAGGGGTTTCTATTTTCTCTAGGAGTCCTCATCATTGACTCCGGACCCCATGACGTCTCATAGCTTCAGGTTAAACATGGGCAGGGAAACCTCCTGCTGATTACCACATACCGTCCTCCCTCAGCTGATGAATCAGTACTCCTCCATGTTGAACAACACTTGGATGAAGCACAGAGGATGGCAGGACACAAAATGTACTCTGGGTGGAGGATTTCAATGTCCACCACCAAGAGAGGCTCGGCAGCAATACTACTGATCGAGCTGGTCGGGTCCTAAAGGACATAGCTGCTAGACTGGGTCTGCGGCAGGTGGTGAGGGAACCAACAAGAGGGAAAAACAGACCTGACCTCATCCTCACCAATCTGCCAGCTGCAGATGCATCTGTCTGTGACAGTATCGGTAAGAGTGACCATCGCACAGTCCTTGTGGAGACAAAGTCCCACCTTCACATGGAGAATACCCTCCATCGTGTTGTGTGGCACTATCACCGTGTTAAATGGGACAGACTTTGCACAGATCTAACAACTCAAGACTGGACACCCATGAGGCGCTGTGGGCCATCAACAGCAGAATTGTACCCCAGCACAATCTGTAACCTCATGGCCCGGCATATCCCCCACTCAACCAATACCATCAAACCAGGAGATCAACCCTGGTTCAATGGAGAGTGAAGGAGGGTATGCCAGGAGCAGCACCAGGCATACCTGAAGATGAGATCTCAACCTGGTGAAGCCACCAAACAGGACTACTTGGACTCCAAACAGCGAAAGCAGCAAGTGATAGACAGAGCTAAGTGATCCCACAACCAACAGATCAGATCTAAGCTCTGCAGTCCTGCCACATCCAGTCGTGAATGGTGGTGGATAATTAAACAACTCACTGGAGGAGGAGGCTCCACAAATATCCCCATCCTCAATGATGGAAGAGCCCAGCACATCAGTGCAAAAGATAAGGCTGAAGTTTTCTCAGCAGTCGTCAGCCAGATGTGCTGAGTGGATGATCCATCTCGGCCTCCTCCAAAGATCCCTCCCTACAGCAGCATGGGGTGTCTACACCCCAAGGGGTGCAGCTGTTCAAGAAGGCAGCTTATCTCAAAGATAATTAGGGAGGGGTAATAAATGTTGGCCCAGCCAACAATGTCCTCATGAGCAAATAGAACAAAAACTCCCAACCATGGCATTACAATGTATTCTTAATTCTCATAAATCTCTCACTTAGTATTCTTTACTTCCACCATCGGTTTGCTGTGGGCTGGCAGGAAACTAGTGAGGAAAATGGATTACATGTAGGTGAAAGGGAGATGCAGGAGTGAAGACACCTTCAAGTCGGCCTGAGGAGATACAATGTAAGGCGAGAGAGAATGGGCATTGCAGGGCCATGGAGGGAAGGGAATGGAGTGGCAGTAATTAGAAAGCTCTTTCAAAAAGCTGGCAAATGTCTACTGCCTTCTCAAGGGGCATTAGGGATGGGAACTAAATGCCAGCGATGCCCACGTCCCATGAATGAATGAAAACAAAACACTGTCCATGGGAGTGAAGCCCAAACTCTATTGTTGCCGCCTCACTAAATGCAGCTGTCTATTATCAGGTCACTTGCCCTTGCAGAGATAACCCACTTTCTTGAAATCCATCACAAAGTATGTTCTCAAATTCCCCTGAGCCGAGTTATCTAAAGTATATTGAAAATAATGGAGATGTTTGATAGGGAGACATCAAGAAGATGTTGCCCCCTATTGGGTAGGCCCAAACCAGGGGTAATTAATTGATATATAACCACCAATACCTCTGATCACCATTTGACTGAAATGACTCTCAGGTTAAATGAAGAGGGTCCTCACCTGGATCATGAAGAACATAGGTATGATGGGCCGAATAGCCGATTTCCATGTCTGCCCCCTGTAGGTCCCCATACCATGGTTAAAAGGTGTTCAGCTCAGACGCCGGTTGGCCAGTCCCTGGAAATTCCACACGTACCTGATTATAAGGGTCCATTGGAATCTTCGTCCTGGGCTCGAGGAGGTTAAGGGAAATAGACTGTAGAACGTACAAGTAGTGAGCCATTTCATCCCTCATCGCGGAAGAGCTCAGAATAATGTTCTGCAGGGAAATATAAACGCGACACAGTCAATCAGAGCTCCAATGAAACTGCACATTCAGAACATCACAGACATGATTGCTGTCACAGCATTATTGATGCTGTCATGGTAAGAGGGGGCCTGGGATTCAGAGCTCTGCTACTTTCCAATGTCATAAAGACAGCCCTGGTAAAAGCTGCTGATAGAATGTGGAGAGCTTCCTCCAACTTCTTTGGTAATAAGTTTGGTTACACTGTCAGCCTTAGTTACCAAGAAAACCCGTCACGATTAAGGTTTCATTAAACTGGTCCCCTCTTCCCTTGGAAAGGACTGTTCCATCCCTTTTTGCCCCTCAAGACTGCACTGACCTGTCCCCACTCCCCCTCAAGACTGCA